TTTGTAACATGAGTAAGCATATCATATATATATATGTCCTGGAAATATATCTACGATGCAATAAGGAAGTTACAAAATTAAAAAAACGCAGTTGAGAAATGTTTTCCAAATTACATTAGCAGAGACAACAAAAAGAAAGCTTTTAATATATTGGATCAAAACACTTTCTCCCCATTCCTTTGTTCTTGGTTTAAATGCAGTTCATTGGGTCCGAAGTTCGAAGGAATCGAAAGAATAAATTATATTTTAATGCCAAACGAAAGAATTAGAGAGCAACAACTTATTATTTTCATTCTTCCACAAATCATTAATTTTTTAATTCACTTCCTTATCGCTCCCACTAAAAACTAAGAAGCGCATTTTCGCGCCTTTTTTTTCTTTCAAATCGGGGCTATTTATCAATCGCTTATTAAAAACAAAGAAAATGGAGAGAAGAAAATAACTGGGGCACGTTAACTTAAATCAAGCACCTTATATATAATTCTACTACCGGTTATTTTCTACTTTTTTTCTCACTCTCGTTCTTTAAAAACTTGTTACTCGTTCTCTTTCTAACTTTAGAATAAACTTATTAAGGAAATGAACAAAGAAAAAAGGCCTAACAAACAACACTTTTATCAAGACCTAGGGGCTCCAAATAATCGATGATCTACATCGTTTTGGGTTAAACCTCTCCGTATGATTGTCTCCTGATTTCTTGAATCCTTCCAGAGTTAGTTAAAACTAGAGGAAGACAGTTGGACTCTTCCGTATAAATAAGGCCTAGATTTTCATTCATCCACATAAGAGCTTGTGATCTCGAATAGTGAATATTAACTCAGTATCCCTTTGGATTTCCTTAACTTCTTCAAATCATGAAACTGTTGGTAAGTTTCTGTTTCTTAGCGACTAATATCAATTCTACTTAGAAATTAATATCAGTAAATGTTACTCTGCTTAAGAAGTCAGCCAATTTTTGGCCGTTAATTCAAAATTCTTTTCGAGAAAAAAGTTTTAAATAAGCACACTTCAAAATTTAGGTTCAACTCAAGATTTTTTGTTGTAACTTTAAAAAATCATGTAACTTTTGTAATTTGTAATTTTATAGTTTATAATATCAGATGTATTTTTTGAATTTATTTTAGAGAAAAATTTAATGAAGTTTGAAAAATCTGCAAGGAATATATAGTTAATGTTAATGTCGTTTAAAATTGCCGGTAAGCAAGTTAATTGTACTTAATGCCTCGAAACTTTAAGCTAAGAGATATATTATAACTTGCTATATAATGTAATTTGTTGAAATTATGTACCTTGCAGCATGTAATTTCAATCGTAATTCTGGATTTTACTAGAGGTAAATTTAATCGAGTTAGAAAATCGGCGAAATTATATAATTATTTTTAATGTTTTCAGATCAAAAATTGTCTATAAAAGTGCTATATGAACTAATTCTTGCTATAATTTGACAAAGTCGTTAAACTTTCGTAAGTTGCTGTTGCATAGTTAATAACCTCAACTGTAATTCTGGAGTTCATTAGAGGCAGATTTAAACAGATTTATAATTCCTTTTATATTTTTTAAAGGCAGATAACTATATAAATTGCAGTTAATTAATGTAGTAATGAATTTTAAATTTATAACTTGTCTAAATCGTGAATTTTTCATAAATTACAATTTTATGGCGTTTTTTTATATCAATAGTTGTATACTTCATAGCAATATTTCAACTCAATTATAATTTTGGAGAATTTAGCGAAATGTGGCAATCTGCGGAATTATATAATTTTTTTTATAGTTAAATATGCTGGCAAATGGGTATATGATAGTTAATATTTGTAGGCAAGCAAGCATAGTTGTTTTAAATTAACCTTGCTAGAAAAGTTATTTACTTTAAGACAACATTTCCACTGAATTGTTTCTAAAATTGAAAACAAAATTTTCTAAAACATTTAAAAGTTGAGTTAAAAATTTGTAGAAGTTATATTATTTAAAAAAGCTTTTAACGCAATTGCTTCAAATAAATATAAAGCATAGCGCAGTAGGATAAAATAAAAATCTTAATTCGACCTTCAGTTTGCCTCAATGTTTGAGTTTTTCTTTTTCATTTTTTTGTTTTGCTTTTACGTCACATTAAATCTCAATTGTAAGTTTTGTTTAGTTTAGTTTCAAATTTATTTGTCAATGAAAATTTCAAACAATAGAGCTTTGAATAAAGATAATTTAGATTTTTTTACTTCAATAGTTTATCGTTAATAATTAAAATATGTTTAGAAAGTGAAGTTTTTTCAAAGAGATATTTAAGTGAAATTTTCAGAAAGTTTTCTCTCAAAAGGGAGTTGAAAAAATATAGATTTTTCTTAGAGTTGGGATTTTTAAAAAATTTCATACTGAAAAATGAATATTTTAATTCAACGAGCTTTTTGAATAAGTATAATTTAAAAACGAAACATTTAATGAGAATAAAAATACACAATTATTATTAAATTTGTATTTGAGAAATAATTTCAATTTTGCTGTAAAATTGTCATAAAGTTATTCACCTCAATGTTGGTTTTGTTCTTGTACAAGAAAGGTCTTTTTTTACCGTTTGCATAAAAAACGGAAGATCACGCTTCTTTTACAAAAATTTTCAACCACATATCTAATTAAAAGATAATTTGCTTAGTTTGCATAATATTTCTTATATTTCGTCTTTGTCTTTGGAGCAATATTCCGGGGTGTCCTAACTATTTTATGTTGTAATATTTTTGTATTAATAACTAAAAATTGGCTAATAAACTCTAACTTTAAATTTGAACGAACATTCTAAAAATGTTTTTTTAATATTAAGTAAAAGCTTCCTTGTTTTTTTAATATTAAGTAAAAGCTTCCTTGTTTTTTTAATATTAAGTAAAGACTTATGAAATGTTCTGTTGAAATTATATTCTTTTAACGTGTAACTGCAGTACTAGCATTAACAGCTTTTCTTTATTAAGGAATAAATTGTCACAATTCTATTAGCTATTTATAATTAAATAACATTGAAGAGTTAAGAGAGTGAAAAGAAGGAACTGACAGTTATAACGAAGTAATAATTTTAAGAAATCAAGTGATAAAGCTCTTCACCTTAACATATGGCATTAAATCATGCAATTTTATATGTTTATATGATTGTAATCGTTTAACTTGCGAAATCGTGACTAAAACAACAAAATATACAAAATATAACAATCGTAAGTACAACAAAATGCTATATTAAGGTCCTTTTAAATTCTTAGAAAACGTATTTGTATAATACATTTGTTTCAAAAATTTAGTAAAACTGTGGTAGCTAAAGATTTAAATACGTGCAGATAAAAAACTGAAATACGTATTTGAAAGAAAATTTTTATCAATATTCCAAACTTGATTACAAAAACATTATATTCTTTAGTTTTAATTATGACTTGTGAATAAGTTTGAATCTGTAAAATAATTCAAGGTACTTTTAATACTAAGCAGCTTTAATGAATAAATTTCTTTTAAATACTTAATAACGGAGGCTTCTTTTAAGGGTTGTTAGCGCTTATGTTTTCTTTGCGTTGTTTACCACTTTTCTATATTATTTTATTTTTGAGTTCGTTTCAGAAATATAGATCATTGCATAAGTCAGTAATTTATCAAATTTTCCTTCTGACATTTCTCTCAATAAAGGAATAAGACTGATTGTAACTATCAAACGTACTTTGTAACATGAGTAAGCATATCAATTTTGACCTGTGACTTTTTTTAGATACAAGGCTTGACTAACAATTAAATTTGATTTATTAGTAAAATGCGTTTTCTAGTGTATGAACTACTTATTAGCATGCTTATAAAAGTCAGCCATGCATATAAATATATTTTATTCAATATTCACCCTTTTCCTAGCCACTTTTCTTATATTCTATTGGATATACTCCAGTATAATCTAACAAAAATAACAATGATTGGGAAAAAATAATTACGTTCTAAAATTACAGTAAAATAACCGGCAACAGTCTTTTCGTCCAACTAACCGTAACGTTTACAGTAAAGAACATTTTCTACCTTTATGGTTTTAAAACCGTGCCATATAGTTTTGTATTCATGTTTTTTTAACCATTTACAGCTAGTATGTTTTCAAAACCGTAAAAAGGAAATTTAATTGGACATAGCAGTTAGGCAACGGACATTGGCTTTAGGTTGTGGCTGAGTTGTGTTTTGTCAAATGAGTCGTGAAAATGTGGCTTATTTAGTTTATCTGGTGGTGCTATCTATCGTCAGAAATGGAAAATACCAGACTTTTTTTTGTGTTCAGCAGCTTTATGGTACTGCCATCTATGCGTGAATGAGAGCATCGCATTATAATATTCCAGGGCCATAAATTGGGGAGTGCAAGACACTGAAAACTCTTCATGCGTTAAAGGGAATGGATGAAGTATTGCGGTGTCAACGCTGGGACTTGAAATCTCCTCCACTCTTTCGGTTATGAGATTGACAGATTATCCTTCTCGGCTTTAATATGTACCAAGCTGCAGGGAACTAAGTAGCTTCATTAAATGGGTTTAGTTGGTGCGATGAAATTCTGGATTTGGTAAAAGCAATTATAAACCTTTTTCTCACAGTAACAGTGTGAATACCATCTTATTTATGGTTAATGGTTATTTATTTTGTTTGAATATGGCAATATTGCAATTAATAAATTGTTATTTAACCATTTTTTCCTAGAACTTTCTAACAGTGTATAACAATGATAAAAGCCAATAAAGGCAATTGAAAAACCTTTAAGGAAATCTAATAACAAATTGAAAATTTAATTTTAAATGCTCTAACCCTTTTGTTTTTAAATTTTTTCATATTGTCATGCATATTGATATTTATTTTAATATGAAATTAATACTATGGATGGCAAAAGTGTTTAAATTCGTCATAAGCTCTGGAGTTACGAAACTACTTACATTAGTTAAAAGTAAAATGTAAGCTACTCTTTATCAGTTAGTTATTGTGTTAAAATGTGTAATTCAAACAAAATTTCAAATAAAATTTATACTAAATATATTATTACCAAAAATATTACTAAAGCATTGCTAAAGATATTTTATGTAATAATTAAAAAAGAAAAAAATCGAAAAGAGATATTTGTCGAAACCGATATACGTATCATAATCTTTATTGAATTCAATTACATCTTAACCATTGAGTAGTTAACTAAATAAGTTACGTATTCAAAACTTCCAACATGTCACATAACAAAAGTAATTTGACATAAAGATACCGATATACGTATCATAATCTTTATTGAATTCAATTACTACTTAACCATTGAGTAGTTAACTAAATAAGTTACGTATACAAAACTTCCGACATGTCACATAACAAAAGTAATTTTTTAAACGTACCTCAATGAGAATATTGTGATAACATAGGTTTAATATACTTGTTAGACTGGTTCCCTTATACTTGACCTACGTTTTTCTTTTTTTTATATAACACAGCCTCAAGAAACGAGAAAGTGAAAATATTATTTTTGGAATACAATTTCCTTAACTGTGAATAAACTCTTTGAGCATCTAAAAAAGAATTAAGGTCACCTGGATATTCACCTTTTGTTATATCATTTGTATGAGAGTCAAATAAAGGTCGAATGGCACGTGTTGTGAGGCTCACTATTTTAAAGGACAGATTCACCTTTGTAAGGAATAAAAAGAATTCAAAATATTTTGATTTAGAGACACTTATAAAAGACATAAGATATTTACAGAAAATATGTAGAAAAATTGCAATTTTGTAGTTAAAATTTCATTCATGATTTTATTTTTTATAAAAAGTGTATTGCAAAATTAAAGTGTGGCATTTTATCATTAAAATTGAAGCAGTGACTAATTATTTATTTTAAAGCAAATTGAAACTAAATAATTCACGAAATAATTTAATTTTAAAACTGTTTAAAACGAGTACAAATTCATTATTGTAATCGTTTTAAACTCGTATTACAGGAATAAACTTTAATTTTGAATAACTTAATAACTTAACTGAATAACTTAAAAACCTGCGATATATATTAACCTTCTATTTAACACTAGAAAGACTGAAATACCTATATTGCCCAAAAGCAGTCAAAATGACTGCATTGTGAAAGAATAACTAATGTATAAAGAAACTTGCTTAAAATTCATTTTTAATATTTTTGATATTATTTTCAGTTATATAACAATTTATTAGAAAATATTAACAATAAAAAAATTATATGTTGTACAAAAAATCACAAAATTCTAAGAAATTGTGTTATCATTGTTTTTCTAATTGAAATTAAAAAGCAGTCAAAATTACTTCCTTGGACAATCTAGTGTTAATAACCTATAAACAGACAGCAATAAACAACTAACAGCAAATTTCGTAGCAAAGGACACTTTTATTGTATTATTAAGCATATATTAAATTATTCAGGAAATAAAATGTATTTAAATTTTTATAAGATTTACCTCAATTTAAATTTACGATGGTGATCATATAGCTTACATTTTAACTTTTAATCGGATTATTTATTTCGTATTTAACAAATAAGTAAGGGTTTAAAGTAAGAAAGGAGATTCTATGTTTTTCAAACATTTTTCTGAGTATTTAGACACTAATAAAAATATTTAAATTTTAATAATCAAAAACTAACACGATTGAATTAAATTTTGCTAAAACTAATTCAGATAGACCATTCTTAGCTTGAATGCAAAAATATGGAATTCATTAATCTGATTTAGTATTTCAACATTATTTAAGAATTGGTATTTTTTTTAAACAGCAATAAAAATTATTTACTCATGCCTAATACGAATTTCGTAATCTGAGAAAAATTAGTTTTTGTTAGGTTTTACCCGTGAATTCTAAGCTTTATTAAGAGATATTGATATGGAATGCAAAATCCTTCCCTTAAGTTTTTTTGTACGCAAACTGCAATATTACTTATCAGTTTCTTTCATCCCGTTTAACTGCTGCTTTTGAAACTGCTTTTATTCGTTTCTGAATCAAGCGTTAATAAAAAGAAAATTTGTTTTTAGTTCGTTGTCTAAAAGCGAAAGTTTTTGATCAAAAGTTTGATTATTGCATTATATTACGCACAAAATATTTGTTATTAAGGTAATCATTCGAGCATGTGCATCAGATATATAAATATTGCATGACAAAATCATGTGTAGGAGGGGATTTATCCGGTATGTTAGACACCTTAAACAATAAAAGACCGTGACCCCCGAGTGTGTGGAGCAGCAGTGATAGCTTCTAGAGGGTAATTTTGTAATTACCCTCTAGAAGCTATCACTGGTAATTTTGAGGGTAATTTTGTAATTACCCTTTTGTAATTACCCTCTACCTTAAGTAAATTTTGTTATGTATTTTAAATTATATAGTGAAATATGTTTCGTTGCTCGAATAAAATATTATTTTCATGAGAGTGTCTGTTACTTAGAGTATTTCTTGGAAAAACTGAAAAAGCAAAGTGTGTGTTGAAATTTATTAGAGGAAGTGAGAGTATTTGGAAAAAAAAGAAGGGTAACACTTTACAAAATAAATGTGAAAGTAATAAAATTGAATTTATAAATTATTTCTTAACTGCATCATATAAATCGATTTTTTTTCTGCTTAGGTATCTTGTGTTGCTTTAGCTATTTTCGGATGTGTACTTTCTCAAGAATTTGATGGATTTGACGGATTTGATACATCTTCTTTCGATACATCAAATTTTGGCGGCCAAGATATATCTGGTTTTGAAGATGGGAACTTCGATGGTTTTGGAGATGGTGGTGCTTCTTTAGGAGGTGGTGTTGGTGGCTTCGAAGGGGGAGAATTTAATCTTGGTCAGTTTGGTGCTAGCCAATTTGATGGTGATTCTGGATTTGGCGGATTCCAAAAGAAATAAAAGAACTAGTTGATTAAGTAAGATTTTCAATTTTTCTTTATTTGAAATAGTATCATATAATGAATGAAGAACACTGTTTAAAGATGATGCGTAGTAAATTCAAAATTCTTTTAACTACAATCGTAACTAAAAATCATTTGTGAGACTCTTTTTAATTCTATTATAAATATGACAATTATAGCAGTGTATAAGGAGATTTTTATATTCACCAAACATTTGAAGAGCAGGATAAAATACCAATCTGCGAAATCATATTACACAAATTAAAATTCTTAATATAATATAATCAAATTACAACTAAAAATATCTATCTGAAGTATGCGGAACTTTATACTAAATATTGTTGTTGTAGTAGGCCATTAAGACAAGGGGTGCGATTGCTCATGTTTTCCAGAGGCGCCATCTATGGCCAAGAATTCGACTTCTGCCACATCCATACATCACACCCGCTTACAAGGTGGACCCATTTATTCATCCATTCTGTTATGCAGGGATCGTAATTTTGTCCTGAACCAGCGAAAGATCAATCTCCGATTCAGTACCCTCAGAGGTATAATTTGTTATGGAAACATGGAGGATTTTGTAACTCGACAGATTTAACGTGCACCAGTCACCATTTACTAAACTTCACCATTTTCACCAAATAATAAAAAATCTTTGGCCATAATAAATAAAAATTTTTTAAAATAATTGATATTTCTGGGGGAGGAATCACATTAATTGTAATCTGAAAAATTTAAAAAAAATATTCTGAAGAAGATCCGTTGGTATTTGGCCCACATTTTAAATTGTTCAATTAATTACATATTTTTAATTATCGTATATGGACAAAATCTGTGGCAAATCTTCAAAATGATTTTTTTTATTTAACCTGCTTTGTTTAAAGTTATTTTAATACAGCTTTCGATTTTCTTTAATAGGTATAAATTTTTCAGAAAATCGAGGAAATTAAAACATTTTTTTAATGAAAATGTTTTATAAAAATTGAGTAGGTATTTTATGGAACTTAATTGCGGAAAAACATTCAGAGATTTTAAATACTTCTTATGTTTGCATTAGAAATTATTGACTATTTTTAAAAGTATTCAAAAGAATTATGTAATGTTATCCCCTTTCATAAAATTCTAGTTTAGTACTTCAAGCTAGCTGAACAAAACAATTCATTATTTTTATCAACTGCTATTCCTTCTGTTATTGCTTTCACTTTAAAAAATATTGCATTAAATAATTCTCAATTACTTTTCCTTTTAGGTCTTAAAATTTGGAAGGATCTTGTCTGTGATCGGATAAGAATAAATGTAGTGAGGGAGCAGTATTAGAAATTGAATCATCATTACTTACATTTGTACATATTGCTTATTATCATTTGTATCAGTATTAAAAGTTCAATAATACCATTTTTCTCTGTTTTATTACTCGTTCAAGTTACTGGATTCATTTTAAATACATATTTCATTTACAAAAATTAAGTGCGGTGAGACCGGGTACCTCGATTGTGTTGAAATTAGTTTTGAATTTTAGTCAACAAATTCTGAAGCACTCTTTACTACTCAAGAAGAAGGACCTACTATATTGGCACGTTGTTATTGATTAATTCACGGCGTTTGTGTAGATAAGTTTGTTTTACTATATCAAATCTCTAATGTTCGCTTGTTATTAAACTAGCCTTATTTATTGGTCATTATAATTGCAAAAATTATTTTTAGTACACCATATTAAACATATACTGAACATTCATACCTTAACAAACAATGCGGATTTAGTCCAATAATAGCACTCATCTGTTATGTTTCGATAACATCTGGTCTCGGGGCATGACCGGGTACTACTCGATTTTGCTCTCATCCCCTTAATGCGAGTCTATGCTGAGCCCAAGAAAGCAGCAATACTGCAGAGGAAGAAAATAACTACATCCAATGTTTACAAATATAAAGGTTTCAAGGGCAAAAAGGCAAAATTTATTGCAGAACCCTTTCTCAAAGCACAAAAACCTTTTTTTTTCATAGTACGTGGAATGAAGTCCCTTTTTATATCTACACAAAAACTATAATTCTGAATAAAGAAATTTTGTGAAATTTTCTTTTTTTAAAACTGACTAATAAACACCATATTTTTGAAGGAAATTTTAGTCTTTTACCCCTCCCCTTTTCAAAACGGGTTTGACTACATCAGATTTAAATTACATGCATAATTTTCTTAAATTATCATATAAAATTGAAATGATTGCTACTTTTCACGGAAATTCTAGTATTTTAAAATTTATATTATGATGTGTATCCGGTATTACCCCACTAATTGATATGACTGGGTGATTTGACTTTTTCTAGAAAAAAGTCATTTATTCTAGTATTACATCTATACTAGAATGTACTCAAAAATATTACATCTATGACTTTTCAGGAATGATGTATTGTTCACAGCTAAACAACGAATATCTTGATTAAATCTGGCAGTTTCTAGGTCGGACAATTTTGCTCCAGCAGGTCTTCAAATCTTAGTTACCTGGTATTATCCCCTCTTCCTCTATATAAATAAAAATACTTTAAATTTTTAATAACAAAATATCACACGAAGTAGATAAAAAAAATGCAAAAAACGAAATATGTATTACCTTTCTCAAATTTGCCAGATTTAAATTTTTTATTATAATAAGGTTCATAATTTATATTAGGTATTTGAAAAAGAGTATTCTGGATATACTAGCATAGTTTCAAGCACAAAAAGATGAAAAAAAAAGGAAAGAAGAAACCAGTAGTTTTTAAGAAATATAAATTTTATTCAAACTAATAGTTAATATGCACGAAAAAAAACTTGTTAATTCTAATGAATCCCTAATGATAAAGGTTGATTCGAAACTCTAAAGACCTGTTTGATTGCCGGAAAAAATAAAGAGGAGTATAAAAGCGAGCAAAGATTACGAATACTATTATCCCATGAAATTAAAAGTTTTGTACAGCAATTTTTTCATATATATATTTTATAACTGTCCATTGCACCGATAAATATTAGGACATTTATACAAAATAAAAAACAGCTTATATTTGAATGCTATTTCAATAAAAATTTGAGACACGGAAGCAAATTTTACGTTAACACTTTAAGGAGCTAAGTGTACTTTGTATCATTATTTCAAGGACACTTTTAAAACATTTTTTTTCTTTCCTTTTTGAGTTCTTTTTTTAGAAAACATTTACTACTCTGAAGTGTAGTGTCTTCTTTCAATGAGTGACACAAATAGAAAGCGCTTACTTAAAAAAAACTGTTCCGTGGTATAATCACTTTTATTTATTTATTATGAATTGTATTTCCACACATTAAGAAGCTTCATCACAAAACAATAAGTACCTTTTTGAATGCTACTTTCATTAATATTTAAATCTCAGACATATGACAACACTTTTTGACTAAGATTGCGGTACCATTTTAAAGAGTGACAAGCATAAAAACCATCTCTAAAATTAAAAGTATTGTGAAAAAATATTTTTCAGTTTTTTAATTTGTCCATTGCATCACTAAATATTAGTACACATTTTCAGAAACAAAATAAATTAAATACTTATTTTTGACTGCTACATTAATACAAAGGAAAACAAAAAGGAAGAACTATCAAAAAATGGTAAAATTTACAGTGTTTCTAATAGTAATTACTTTAAAAAAATATTCATCTCAGAAGCAAATTTACGGTACTACTTGAGTGAAACAAATAAAATCTATTCAGCTCATATGATAAGCTATTTATCACTACATATGACAACACTTTTTGACATATTAAAAGGTTAATTTTTTACTGCTTTTTCAATAACAATTCCGATCTCAAAATCGAAGATTATGATACCATTTTAAAGCTTGAAATGTATAGAAACTATTTCTTGAAACATGAAATTGACAGTTCCTCGTTGCATATATTTTTAATAAGCTTCTTAAGTGTCACAGTATCACAACATATTAGGACTCTTGATCACAAAAAACATGCTTATTTTTCAATCTTGCTTCATGAATTTTTATCGTAAGTAAATTTCATGCTACCATTTCCGAGTGACAAGAGTAAAAACTATTTTTCTCAAAGAACTTAATGTTCTGTAATTCAAATTGTTTTTAGAGAAGTTTTCAAATGTCCATTTTATCGCTACATGATTGAACACTTTTTCACAAAAAATATGCCTATTTTCGTTCGCTATTTTAATGAAAGTGTAAATCGCTGAGCAAATAACATACGATATACTTTTTAAATAGCAACATGAATAGAAACTATTTATAACGAATTGCAGTGCTAATTCTTTTATATAATTTTTAAGTGTCCTTTATATTCGTCACATTTCATTACGTCAATTTTCGTAGCAGAAAAAGCAGTTGTTATTTTTAACTGATTTTTTTCCATAAAAATTTCTTAAGCAAACTTTGCCGCTCCATTTAAAAACATGACATGAATAAAAAATAGTGATCTCATAAAATTAAAAGTTCTACCTTGCAACTATTTTAAATAATTTTTAAGTATCTTTTGGAAAAAAAGTGTTTCATTTTGACTGCTCTTTTCATAAAAATTTAGATATTCAAGCAATGATAAAGATATATTTTTAGAGTGACAGAAATAGAAATTTATTTCCTAAAATTAAAATTTTTGCGGTGCAAATATATTTTATATAACTTTCACGTGTTCTCACAGGTTCTTTCTCCTATGAAAAAGTATATTATTTTTTACTGCAATTTTCATTAAAGTTTACATCTCAGAACAACGCGTACGATAACATTTTAAAGAGCGGCAAGAATAGAAACTAATTCAGAAAATTCAATGATGGTAATATTAAAATTTTTTTAACTGTCCATTGTATCGCTAAATATTAGGACACTTATTAGCAAAAAATGCTTATTGTTAACTATTCTTTCATAAAATTGTATATCTTAGAAGCTACGTTTACATTAAAGAGTGACATGAGTACAAACTATTTATCTAAAAAATCAGTCAGTTTTAAAATATTATATTTATTAATGAATTGTACAGTAAATAAAAAATGTGCTAACAACATGGGGAAAATAACTTTCAGAATCAGTTCCATTATAAACAAAGCTTACTCAAGAATGACAGATATTTATAAGGGAGGAAATTAAAATAATTTTTTTTTTAAATGGAAATTTTGAGACATTATGTTAACAGTACGTGGTAGAAGCTGTTGTGATTTATATATCAAATAATATTAGTGATGTTTAGAAAATCGGGAGCTTCCATATTTGAAATGAAAACTAAATATGTAAATTAAAAAAGTAATTACGTAGAAAATTAGGTAGTTTGAAAGAATTAATAAGAATTTGGAAGTAGAATAATTAATAAGTATTTGCATTGAAAGGATAGTATTCTTTTACTTGCTGAATCCAGTTATTTTTGTTATAATTTTTTTCTTTGCTGATCTAGCAAAGCTAGCATCCAACATGCTCTTCAACTCTTTATTTTTAAATTAAAATTGTTGTATTAAAGAAATCATTGCTGATAAATCGCTGTGTGAAGATGCTGCTTTTAGATTTATTTTGTTGTGCTAGGCCTTCAACAGGGTTATTCGTTCCCTACCGAAGTAGTTACATACATCCCTGTAAAGAGAATGAATATATGTCATTAATTATTCTGAAACTATTTTATAATTAAATAGAATTCGAAAATGTATCTGGTTATGCTATCCCCAAAATAAGAATGAAACTGTACTTAAAACAAAATTATCCAACTTTTTTATGCAGCTTTGTTTATTTACTTTTTTATATAACCAGCGTTAAACAGAAGACCAGATTCTTAGTTTATGACTATCAATTTTCAACTCTGTAGCCTTGCAATTTTGAACCTGACCAGAAAACAAGGGAACCCTTGGATCAAGCAGTGGAGCAAACTAGCCTTCGTGGAGGACTTTTTGATGGGACTAACCCGCATTTGCGTTGCATGGAGAGGAATGCCACGAAAATCTCCCATGGTTAAACCGACAAAATGGAAATTCCGACCTATAATCCGTCTACGACTGAGGATATTTTACGTCAGCACTGTGATCAGTGTGAACCGGTAGCAAACTTCGTATCAACCAGTCACTGCTGGGATTCGTACCTGGGTCGTTTCATGGGGAAGCGAATGCTCTATCCCTTGAGCCACCGCAGCTCGTCTTTGTTAATTGCTGCTAATTTAGATAGTAATGGTGCATGCTATATATGGCTCATGTGACTCCAATGGAATCCCTTTCGGTTAAGTATTGATAATGGCTGAATTGTACAGAAAATTAAATTTTGAATTTACTATCATGAAAATCCAAATGAAATTTATCTGGTGAAATTATTATTATATTACTTCAATCTTATATTGAAAATTTCCGTTCCATATTCGTTGATGATGGGAGTTTCCATCTGTATTCAATTGAACAATTCAATA